CCATTATTTTCAACATAGTACTGTTGGTATGTGGTATTCCACCTTTTACTGTTGAAGCTTAATTATCGATCAATTCGTATTTCGAAAGTAATAGTTTGTTAGAACTCTATGAATAATGTATCCAATGCATTATCTCATTACAGTTTCGAACCATATTTCAGGGGGGTGAGTGTAATTATCGATACCATATGAACCTTAAAGTTATTTTAACATACCTCAAGGGTGAGGGTGTAATTTACCCTCAAAATTACCCAAAAGATATGAACTTTCAGACAAGATATCTAACCAAAATACAAAACATTGTACGTGTATTACTGACACTTTAACATGTCTATAGATGAAAATATAACTTTGAATATCTCATGTTACTAATAGTAACACTATTATATCCCTTTGTACTTATTAGGGCCTCATTATAATGTTTATATACTTTGCTAAAAAAAGAAAAAAAATCAAAAATTTGTTTTAAATATCACTTCATGCTAACTTATGATATGGAGGTGAATTTGATGAACATAGTGGTTCGTTTCTATCAGATCCCGGCCAACCAGAAAACATCAGATGTGGCAAAAGTTGTTGCTAGCAAAGTGGGTACCTTCATACAACTGTTGAACGACAAGTTGTCGTACGTGATAGATTATATTCGCGCTAAGGTTTCGATAGATGTTACACAGTGCCTTAAGAGAGGGATTTACATGCACAGCCTGGAGGGGTCCAAAGCTTGGATATTGAATTTAAATACGAGTGTCTCCCTAACTTTTGTTTCCTCTGTGGCACGCTTGGACATAGTGAGGAAAAGTGCCCGACTCGTTATGAGGACAACTTTTCCGACCCTCGGGATCACCTTCCATATGGGATATGGATGAAGGCGCCAAATATGAAAGAGGAGGCTGCCATCCGGGTTCCTTTGCAGCCTCTCCCGCTACACAACTCCAATAGTAATAATCGACAGAAGCCGGTGGCGAGGGGGACATACATATTTGAGTTTTCCTCGAAACCTAATGGAGAGGAGAACCAGGACCTCTATGCACCATGAATGACGAGCTTACACTCATAAACTACCATGGCTCACTCGGGGCGGAAAATGATTGTGGTGTCCGAAAAGAACAAGAAGAAAAAGGCAGAGGAGGCTTTTGGAAATATGCGGGAGAATTCGGGAAAGAGACAACATCTCCAGCTTCATGACGAGGAGTCTAATTCAACGACGAGCACTGCAGAGCAGTCTCGCCGAGCACTATGAGTTACCAAACGAAGACGACGTCAACTCTAGTTAACAAACTTATGAAGAAGTGGAACCTTTTGGGTTTGTCAGTTGATAAGATCGGAAAATCAGGAGCGCTGGCCTTATTTTGGCAAAACGATATTCAAGTGGACCTCATTATTTACTCTATAAATCACATTGATGTAGAAATTCTTGAGGGCCAAGGCTCAAATAACTGGCGACTGCGGGTATACATGGCTGCCCGGAACAATCTTAGTACTCAGAGATCGTTGTCGTGGGTTATTCGTGGCGATTTTAATGAAAATTTGGATAACTCGTTGAAGCTAGGTGGGAAATTTGCGAGCGCCAACGCAGATAGCGGCGATTAGGGGGGCCCTTACCGACTGTGACCTCTCAGACATTGGTTTCACGGGGTCGCCTTTCACTTGGACTAATAGGCAAGAAGCTCCTCATACAATACGGTCTCGTCTTGATCGAGCGTGTGGTAATAGCGAGTGGTTAGCAGCATTCCCCAACGCACAAATTCAACATTTGGAGTTTGCTGGATTAGATCACTTACCGCTCATTCTCACACTTAACTGCCTGGATAATCATCCTAGGGGTGCGGGTTGCAAACCATTTCGGTTTGAGGCGATGTGGACCCAAAGATAAGAATGTGAGGATATAGTCAAACAACAATGGAATAAAACAGAAGTGTCGGACCTATATTACAGAATTCAGATGGTTGCCGGTGGCCCTTCAACACTGGAGTAGGTCGGTTCTCAAGCACCCGAAGGCAAATTGAAAAAATACGTAAGTAGCTCCATAAGTTGAGGATGGATGTCCAAACCAAGGAAGTGGTGTCTCGCTAGAAGGAGTTGAAAGCATAGCTTGAACGGTTATATGGAGACCTTGATATCTATTGGAGACAATGTAGTCGTGTTCAATGGATTCGGGAAGGTGATCGTAACACGAGTTTTTTCCACGCTAGAGCCACGGTCCAACAAAAGAAGAATTGGGTTCATAAAATCAAGGACTCCCGGGGGGATTGGAAAGAGGATAAGGGGGATATTGAGCAAGTTATCTCAAATTATTTTGAGGATTTGTTTCAGTCGACCTATCGCGATAAGAGAGTGGTGGATGAGATGTTGGAACACATAGGGGTACATATCACTAGAGAGGCTTCACTACAAGAAAAAGTTGCATTAACGACATCCCAATTGTGATAAAGGCAAAAGTTGTCACTTAATGCACACATTAAGTGATAACATTTTTTTTATTGTCACTAATAACTGTTTTTGTTGTCACTTAATTCTTATTTATTGTCACTATAGAGCATTAGCAACACCCCGTTAGTGACAAGTATAGTGACAACACTTTTTGCCTAACTATGTGAAAAATAGGTGTTGTCACTCAAAATATTTTTTTTTGTAGTGCTTCTCATCTGCTTTCTCTCCCTTTATCATTCTCTCCCTTTCTCAGCTGATGAGGTAACCCGAGCCATCTCTCAAATGGCTCCGACTAAATCCCCCGGCCCTGATGGCCTTCCCGTCTTTTTTTATACTAAATTTTGGCATATACTTGGTTCCAGTGTTATTGATTATGTCCTCGAATTCTTGAATAAGAGAATTTTACCTGCTTCCCTCAATTTAACGTTTATTGTTTTGATCCCAAAGGTTTCTAATCCGGAAAAAATGACTGAGTGTCACCCTATTAGTTTATGCAATGTAATCTACAAATTTGGTTCTAAAGTCATTGCAAATCGTATTAAAATGGTTTTGAGCGATATCATATGTCCTACCCAATCTGCTTTTGTGCCTAAACGTTTAATAACCGATAATGTATTGGTTGCTTACGAGTTTAACTATTTTATTAAAACTAACTCTAAGAAACGATCTAACTTTATGGCTATGAAATTGGATATTAGTAAAGCATACGATCGAGTCGAGTGGTTTTTCTTGCGGAAAATTTGTGTTGAATGGGTTTTCCACAAACCTTAATTGAATTTATTATGCTTTGTGTTTCTTCGGTTACTTATTCTTTCTTATTTAATGGATCACAGTGTGGTTCGATGTCTTCTTCACGAGGACTCCGGCAGAGCGATCCTTTTTCCCCCTACTTGTTCATCATATGTACTGAAGCCCTCATTGCCATGATCCAAAAAGTGACAGAGAATGGGCATACTCAAGGCATTAGAGTGGCACCAACGGCGCCTACCGCATCGAGTCTTTGTTTCACCGATGATACGCTGATTTTTTGTCAATCTACCGAAGCAAATGCCCGTACCCTAAAACATATTTTCTCGCAATATGCTAGTTCATCTGGGCAAGTGATTAATTTTGAGAAATATACTATGACTTGTTGCCCATCCACACCTTTGGCTATAAAGACATTAATTCACGACATATTGGAGTTCCAAATTGCTGATTCACACGAGAAGTATTTCGATCTGCATACGTCAATGGGTAGGTGTTGGCCGAAAACCTACACGCAAGTGCACGTATCGTACAAGTAATATAGTGGACTAAAAGTCCGGATATCGAACCCACAGGGAATATTTAATTATCTAATCTTATACGCTAAATTCTACCAATTATTATCAAGTCCACCCTGCACAGTCGAATTTTAGAGAGAATTAACTAAATTAAATTAAAAGGCAAATTAAAACGACAAAGCAAGAAAGCAAATTAAACACGAAGATTTATCAGAGTAAACGAGCCTAGGATTTTATTTTTCCCCCTATATGATTATTATTCCCCCAATTCCTTCAATTATGCAATCAATTAACCCGGATTATTAACCTGAGATGCTAAAATAATCATAACCTGCTTCCGCGTGTATTACGATTCTAATACTCTAGATTCAATTACTATATTCCTATGCAATTAATTCTAGAACGCAGCATTAAGCACAAATCTCAATAATGGCTACCTAAGAGATTAACTATATTCCTATGTTAGTACCACAAAGGCTCTTCTACCACAGTTCTAATTATTAACCCGATCTTCCGATTCATGCGATTAACAATAACATAAAAGCACATAAGTTGATCAAGTTCATGCACTTAATAAAACAAGTAGAAGAAATAATCTGGAATTAAAACTTGCATAAAATCATAGAATTAGGTTCATAAATCCCACATAGGGTTCCAAATAAAATCCTAGAAAAAGAAAATTAGCTACTCATGATTAAAGGAAAAACACAAATAAAATAAGTCATAAACGATAAATCTATGCTTAGAGTCTTCGAATTCTTCGTCTTCGTTATTGCTTTGTTGCTCTCCAAATTGCGTAAAAAAAAAAAGATCTTCAATTGTGTGCTTGGATTGGTCTTATATAGGGTGAAGAACTTGGGGAAGAAGGCAGTTTCCTTGTGCAATTAAAATCCCTTTACTGCGCAACTTCGGAGTCTCGGACGGGGGTCCCACAATTTGAACTAAAACTGGGACGGGGGTCCGAGCTTTAAATCTTCAGAATTTTGATTTTTTCACTTTTGGCCCATATTTTCTCCAAAATTGCAGTTTTGACCCCATACTTTTCCAATTCTTCAATTTGTACCTAAAATACAATAAATCAACTTTTTAAGCACCAATTATCGTTAAAACACACCAAAAGCTCAAATAAAAAGGTACGATAAAGTGTAAAAATATACACTTAACAGTAGGACCCGGAAGGAAATATTTGGTTACCTTTGAGACCATTTTTGGGCTAGAATTAGGGGTTGGAGTACGAAGCAGCTTTCTAAAGCGAGTAAGGAAATCCTATTCAAATCTGTCCTCCAGGACATTCCTTCTTTTGTCATGCCTTGCTTCGTTCAGCCCCATGGTTTGATCAACGATATTGAAGCTGCAATCCGTCGGTTCTGGTTGGGTTCCGGGGATGGGAAACCGCTGGCTTGGATATCTTGGACCAAGTTATGTAGACCAAAAGAAGTGGAAGGGATTGGATTTCGAGATCTCAAGGCATTTAATCTAGTTCTTCTCGCAAAGCAAGCGTGGCGAATTCTCACCTATCCCGACCTCTTGTTATCGCAAATACTCAAAGCTCGATATTTTCCGTCGGGAGATATTTGGACGGCCACACCTGGCTATCGACCGTCAGCTACGTGCAGGAGCATACTTGCAGCACGGTCCCAACTTAGAGCATGTATACGGATACACATTGGGAATGGAAGTTCTACGGCGATTTGGGGCGACCCTTGGCTCTTGGGAGAGGGGAAGCCGGTGATTTTCACCCCAAGACCAGTTTATTCAAGCTTCCCCAATTCAGTTTCGGATATTGTTGATCGAAACACATGAACTAGGACCTACCCGTGATTCATAATGTTTTTTGGCCGGTCGATCGTTATCGCATTATGTCAACACCTATCGGGGGACATTTTACCCAAGATAAGCTAGTTTGGTGCTACTCGGAGTCCGGAAACTTCACGGTGCGGAGCTGCTATCATAATGTAATGGAACGCCGGACCCAATATGGGAGCTTCTTGACGAACAATGGTGGAGAGACGAGCGGTGGATCATCGCGAGATTGGAAAATGGTGTGGAAACTCCCCATTCCTCCTAAGATCCGTATATTCCTCTGACGAGCTTGCTCGGAAACCTTGCCATGCAACTTGGAATTATTTTGCCCGAATTGCTCAAGACCCGTTTTGCACCTACTGTGGGAGTAAAGTGGAATCTACCTTGCATGTTGTATTCGGGTACCAAGGCATTATGGATCTATGGGCAGGCATGCCATTTCAAATATTTGCAATCGACGAGAATATGTCCTCTTGGAGCTGGATTGATCTCCTTAAGAGAACTTTAAGTGGCGATAACTTGTTGTTGGCGGTAGTCGTGTGATGGAAACTTTGGGATCGGAGAAACCGGACAAATCATGGGGAAGAGGCTCTTGAGATGAGTGAGATCATTGGTTGGTGTTGTTCATACCTCCACGCTTTTAAAGATGCCCAATTTCGTAACTTACGCCCACATAAACCGAACCACGAGGAGGTGTGGAAACCTCCACCTTGGGGGATCATAAAGGTCAATGTTGACGCTGCTTTTCCACCTAGCAAATATTTTTACAACATCTCCTTAGTCTCCCGAAATTCCGACGGACAATGTATTTGGTGGAAGATCAGGAAGGTCTTCGGTCAAATTCGCCCCGTAGATGGTGAAGCTAACGCAGTCCTACAAGCGATTACTACTGCCCGAACATTGCATTGGAGGAATATTATAGTGGAAGGAGATTGCGTAGAAGTTATTGATGCATTGCGCGAAAAGACTCGAACTTTCAAGTCCTTTAGAGCTGTTTTAGATGAATGTTTTTCCCTGTCTTCTTTCTTCTCAGTTTGTTCTTTTTCCTTCTTTAAGAGACCCTGCAATCGCCTTGCTCACGATCTTGCTTCTATATCCGTGACGGATTATTTAAAAGAGTCTTCTATTTCTTCCAATTTGGCCATGAGTGCCTAATAATATTTTGTTTTTTCATATAAAAAAAAATTAAATAAATGTCTAGGTGGTTTGTATACATTAGGGTAGGGCTGGGCAAAAATTACCAAATACCGATTACCACGGTATACCTACCACAAATTACCGAATAAATACCGAACTATCGGTTACCACTGCATTTGGTACGGTATCGGTACCGTACCATTGTCTTACGGTACGGTAGCGGTATTGTATCTTCAATACCATGGTAATACCGTACCGTACCGCAACTTATTTTAAAAATTAGTTAACATATTTTTCCTTTTATATTGTTAAATAAAAAAATATAGTCAACAAATATTATTAAAAAAAATAAAAAAACAACAATAAAGATATGATACATCCTATATATATTATATATACATAATTATAATTTTCTTTTTTATTATTTTCATATATTTATGCAAACTCAATATTTGGCTCTCGTTGAAGTTGTTTATGTCACGTACTTCGTTAGTTTCGACGTCCAACTAATCTCTTATTGGTGGAATACTTTTTGCCATAATTTTCTCTCCCTTTCTTTCCCCCCCTAAGTTCCCAGCCTTTTGTTTCATTTGCATTATTGCAACATAGTTTTTTTTTTTTTTTTTTTTTTCTCTTTATATAAACCATGAAACTGTTTTGCTCATTAGTTTCTACAAATTTTCTATAGATATCTTAGTAATCATTAGTTAATTGAAGTGCTATTACGGTCGTATAATGTACATTCATGTAAATTGCCTGATTACCATATTCATTTGCTTAATTTGTTGTATTTATGCATTTATTTAGTATTCATCTTAATTATGGTATCATCCGAGTTAATCAACAAAATGATGTACGGTAGATTACCACGTACCGATCATACCGTACCGAAACTAACGGTATACCGAATAACGGTATACCGCAATTGTTGGTACGGTAACGGTATAGAATTTTTCAATACCGAAAGATACGATAGGTACACGGTATTGAACAAAATGTTCGGTAACCGTACCGAAACCACCCTACATTAGGGTATGTAATGTCTATTTTTATATTAAAACTATGCGTGATTGCTCGATTTGGTTAATTGCTTGAACAATTATTGTTGTGTAATGGATTATGTCATCCAGTTATTTTACTTTCATGAATTCCATTAATTATGTTAATGGACTGGTGCTATGTAGTTAATCGAAAATGCTAGATTCAATTTTAATCGTTCAGTTCATGTACTATATTTACTAATATATATATATATATATATGAATTTCTCGTGCTATGACAAAAAAATTAATCGAATTTTTCGTGCTTTAGAGTACGAAACTATCAAAAAGATAGAAAACTTCTTGCTGAAGAGCACAAATCTGTGCAGGGGTTTCGAACTTTGAAGCACGAATCATTCAAAAATTTAATGTTCAGTGCCCTAGAGTACGAAACCGTTACAGTTTGTTTGTTTGTTTGTTTGTCTTTTTCTTTTTTTCCTTTTTTCCGACTCCTAATACATAAAGCATAATCTTAAACCTATATTTGATACCAAAATCACAAATAAATTGATATAAATAAAATTAAATTAGTAAAATTTATCGTAAGTCGTGACCGGCAAGTACCGGATTGAATACTGAGAGTTAGAAAGAATTTGGAATTTTTCAAGAGAGGTTTTAAGAATTTGATAGAATTCTAAAGTTTAAAAGATTAAAAATGATTGAAACCCCTCGATGACTAGTAAAAACCCTTCTGCAAAAAGCATTTCCATTTAATAATGGGATTTATATCCCGTTGACTTGCGATCCCAAAAATTGTTGTCAAGTTTCAGGTGGCACTGATATTTGCTAGTTGGAATACTAAATTCAAATAAAATCAACACTTAATGATTTTGAGTTATATGTGATTAGATTAGCAAATCCTTCCGAATCTAATACTAATCATACCATAGTTTTGATTGGGTGATTTGATATTATTACATGAATTTTCAATTTTATCGTCCTGTCAAACATAAAATAAAATCTATGATCATCACTGTTGAATAGTTTATATAATTATTAATTATTGCGAGAGGGTAATTGGACCCATACAAGATTTATTAGTTCAAATAACATGATCCCATTTTACAACTACTTGAGTATGTATGTATGGCTGCTCCATCAAATTTCAATTGTGGAAGATAATTTTTATTTTATTCAAATCATTTTTTTGTTTTATTTTTTAGTTTATGTGTATTCTATAATATTTATAATTGAGTCTTTTACTACCTAGTTATCCTCATGACATATAATTTGCTTCATTTCATGTTGTATACGGAATATGATATACGTATTATACATTGTTTTGTGTTGAAAAAATTACGAAAATAAATTGCGGGATAATGGGGATTAATTTGGCAAAATGAGTTTTGTAGTTCTGTAAGTTTGTTATTTGGGAGTTTTAGTCTAGCACGTTTCAAAATCAGAATTTTAGTCCCGTAAGTTAAAAAAGTTGGGAAAATTTGGTCTTGTGGTCTGCTGTAACCAGTGTTCTAAAAATCGGCCGAGGCGGCCGATTAATCGGTCTCCGAGGCGGAGGCGGTCCAAAACCTTTACGATTTTAGTGTAAAGGTTTGAAAAATCGGTATTTTGCCTGTGAGGCGGTCCGATGCGGTCAAACCTTTAAGGCGGGTCAAACTCGGTGGCAAAAATTGGTTTGTTTGTTTTTTTTTTTTTATAATTCAAAATAAAAGTTGGATTTTAATAAAAGAAAATATGAGTTTAAGCCTTATTTTGTTTATGTTAATTGTTATTGTTAAAGAACGAATGATGTATGCGAGAAATGTTCAAGAATAAATGTAAATTCAAAAAAAATGTTTTTTTATTTATATTTTATAAGAATATTTATGTATTATGATCTTATGATTATTAAACTTTTATTATGTTATTAGGATATATACATGATGGAGATATAACAATGTTTAAATATCTTTTTATATATGTTTGGAATATTTATAAATAATATTTAGAAATATATTATATTAAAAATTTAAAAACCGATTTATTTTCGATTTCTCACCGATTAATCACCGCCGCACCGATTAATCGTGAGTCGGTGCCTAACCGACTCGGACCCGATTACCACTTTTTACAACCTTGGCTGTAACAGGTAATGTGATAGTTGTTGAATGAGTTGACATTTAATTTATAAAAATAAATAGAATAAAAATAAATTATGTAATGTGTGGTTAATGGGTTGGATGGTTTTGGAGAGAAGTTTGATCCCCGGGGTCAAAGACACCAAAATAATGGGATATATTTAACATATTAATTTATATATTTATTTTTTGTTATATTTTTGCAATAAAGAAACTCAAATTAATTAAAATATACCATTATATTTTTTATGAAGAAAATAAGCATAATTAATGGTTAATTAATATTTCTTAGTTTTTATTTGGTAAAAATAGTAATTAAATTCATATTTATTTAAATATTTCATTTTTTACAAATATATAACTAGTGATTACGGTGGAATTGAACCAACAATCAAATTCAACAAAAATACAAAAAAAAAACGTTATATTAAAACTTTTGTAAAGTTAATGATATGCAGAGTCGTAATTAGTATAAAAAACTGCAAACACATTTACTAATTAAAAATAATAATAATAAAATATATTCAAAATTCTATTAAACTAAATGTAGCAAAAAATTATTCTGAAGCCTCCAAACATAAAATACATTATCAAACTAAGAATAACAAATACACATAACTGAGTAATAAAATATAGTTAATTACTATTTTTATCATGAAGACTATGAAATATTAATTAAAAAAATAGTTAGTACTAAAATGCTTATTTCATTCATCAAATAAAAAAATAATTTGATGGTATATTTTATTTTCCTCCAAAATCTTCCAACTCATCAGCCTCATCATTTAGATTATTTTTAATCTATTTATATATGTCTATAAATTAAATAACAACTCATTCAACCCCCATTGCCTAACCTGTTATACCAGGTTATAGGACCAAAATTCTCAACTTTTGAAACTAACAGAACTAAATTTTTGATTTTGAAACATGATGGATTAAAACTGCCACCTAGCAAAATTACAGGACTAAAAAACTCAATTTGCTTAAATATTTTAGTTGATTCCAAAAAACTCACATTTTATTTTAGAGGCTATTACAAATAAGTCCACCACGGGCTATTTATTCAGAAAGAGAATCAGACCAAAACTCTTGTATAAAAAAGTCTAGATGAAGTTCATATGTGTGAAAGATTAAAATACCCCTCACGTTTAATTATGTTTCAATTCATCCATGTAATCTATTTTAATCTTAATTTGACCTCAAATTTCACCAATTATTCAATTTTGACCCCTAACCCAATTTTGACTCCAATTTTGACCATCTCCACCGTAGATCGCCGGTTCCGACGTTGATTTTTTTCTTCCTTGTTGCCGTCGATGTTGACCTTTTTTTCTTTCCTAAACATTTTTTTGACCCTCTTAAAAAACAGTAATATTACTATGGTTGACAATAATATTAACTAATTTACTGTTTAACACCATCATATTGCTATATTACTTTATAGCACAGTAATATTAACATAACAAAATCATTATGTTACATAATAAATTATTGTGTAATACAGTAATATTACTATGTTGATCAGTCAACAAAGGCAAACATAATATAAAGTGAGAAAAAAATATTGTTGTGGTTGACAACAGTAATATTACTGTCAACCACAGTAATATTATTGTGTTTAAAGTATTGTTAACCACATTAATATTATTACGTTGATCAATCAAAAAATTAAGCAAAATAAAAAAGCCAAAAAAATATTTATGTGATTGACAGTAATATTACTGTTAGCAGTTAGCGGCGGGAGGAAAAAAAAGAAGAAAAAAAAAAGATCAACGCCGGATACCGTCGGACAAAAAAAGAGTTTGAAAAGGGAAAAGTCAAAATTGGATTTTTTTTTTGTCAAATTAATGAAATTGAAGTTAAATTTGGGTTACAATTAGGAGTTGCGTTTAAAGGGTTG